TAATTGTAAATACACGTAGGACATATCCATGATCACAACACAAGACATGCTGTAAGGGATGCATTGAGTGTACCCAAATTTAGGACGGACACTTATAAAAATAGTCCTCTAATTTCTGGAATCAGAGTATGGAACCAACTTAAAAGTCCTGTCAAAATGTCACCTACTTTGAACAGTTTAAAAAACGCTTTGAAAGCACTATTATATGTAGATGACGTTTAAGTGAACTTTTGATGGTTTCGTGCGAAGGTAACCATTTTTTTTCCCTATTTGCAAATTTTTTTTTGGTTGACATGGTTATCGTTATATCATGTATTCATACATGTAATGTATCCATTTTCAGCTATCTTGTAAACAACCTAAGTGTATTAGTTAAAGAGCAATTGAATGTAAATATGTATATAACAATAATTGTTTTTGGTATCCCGTGCGTTAAGCTATATCAGATTATAAAATGAACGTTTTTAAAAAATGTATTTAATTTGAAAATTCCATTCGCCTCTTTCTTGTAAATGATCAAGGATGATTCTTGAATGATCAGTTATTTCAAGGGATACCAATTAATGTGTATTTTACCTGTTTACATGCTTGTGTATTTATCTATTTTGTTTTTGATGCTGTCATTTGTTTTTATTATTAAACAAGGCCTCATGGAAGACCACATTATGTGCCACCCTGTATAAATATCAGAAATAAATAAATAAATAAAAGAGCACATTTGTAATGTTTCACAACCCACCTTTTAGACAACCTGGAATCAATAACTTAGTATAAAAATTTCCTTACATATCAAGTGTAATTGTTTAACATTCACGTACTTGACGATATACGCCTAACATAATAATATGAATTATCTGCCAATGTTTTGTAAACCTTACCAATGGCGGACGCGAAGGAGGGGGGGGGGTAAGCAGGCACGTAGCCACGGGGGGGGGGCACGTACCCCCCCCCCCCCCCAAATCGGTTGAACTTTTTTTTTTTACCTCGATCGATTATGTATGTGCCCCCCAAACATCAAACTCTGGCTACGTGCCTGGGGGTAAGACCTCTTTTTTCATGTTTTTGTCGCGGATTTTTTTTTTCTTTACACTTAAAACAAATTTGAGGGGGGGGGGGTTATCATCCAAAACCCATAAAATTGAGGGGGGTTAACCCCCAAAACCACCCCCCTACCCCACCCCCCGCGCCTGGGCCCTACCATGTTTCACTTTTAACAAATCTTTTGCATTTCACTTGTAACTCTGAACATACTACACAATGTATTTAATCTGCAATTGTATATAATTAGAGTGGTACCGAACCCTTTCATACAAACAACATGTTCAAGAGGTGAAGGGTAAAGTCAGGACAAGGAACAACCTCCTATACGCAAACTGGTAAACTCGTCTTGGGGTGCCAATTCCTCCACGCTGAGGTCAACTGCCATTGCGGTGTGCTACTCTGCAGCAGAATATGCCTGCACTGTATGGGAAAGATCATCCCATGCAAAGAAAGTTGATGCAGCACCCAACGACAGCTGCAGATGCATCATTGGCTGCCTCAAGGCCACGAATGTGGACAGCTTGCACATCCTGGCCGGCATCGCTCCGTCCGATGTCCGCAGAACAGTTGCAAGTAGGACCGAACGCAGAAGACAAGTTGAGGACACCCGCCGCCCCCTTTAAACTCTCATGAACAGCCTGAAATCCCGCCTGAAATCCCGCCTGAAATCAAGGAAGAGCTTCCTTCATACAGTCCAGCCACTGTCAAAACCTCCTCATTCAACCGGAGTGCTCTTGTGGGAAACGTACGTTGTGAAAACCACCTCCATGAAAAGCTACCAATCCCGACCAAGGAACAGCTGCCATCTGACCATATGTGACTGGAAGACGTGGAAGTCCCAAAGAGGTCCCAATTTTTACATTTTGAAATAATCACTCCTACAGCGATAGAGGTGCTATATTTTGAAGCGCCTTGAGCATTTAATTAAAATGGATAATAGCGCTATATAAATCTCATGTATTATTATTATAAATAGCCTTTGTTTCCCCTTTTCAAAGAATACTTCCACCTGAGTATCATGGAGTGCACTGAATGTGCATGAATGAATAATGTTACATAAATTGTATGAGTACGTATGCAGTATTTCGTCTCCGTGTATTTCAAAATGTGTTCTGCAATGACCTTTATCTGCTCATGCTCAGACTTCAACCGTGAACTGGCTTATAGGCTTCGCATAGGGGTGGGGCGATGCAAATAGAACATGCATAAATGGGGATACACTGATGACACAGACACCGAGTGCGAGTGTGGAACATCCGTCACACTAAGATGCCCACTCCTAGATGACCAATATGCTGCCTGGATGACCTAGTGGCAGCAAATGAGAAGGCTCTTCAGTGTGCAAAAGCCTGGCAGAACATTTGAGCTCAGATGATGGACACGAAAGAAAAAGTGGTACAAAAAGATTTACATCTCATATTTCCATGTATTTATACGATATTTCCGCCTTCACTATGTAATGTATATTCCCTCATGCTTCTTGAAATTTTGAGCTATTTGATTCTAAATCACTATGTAAAGCTACATTTCAATTTGATTTTGAGTTCGATTTTTAAAGTTACAATATGCGAGTTATAGAGTCTCTCTGATTTCTTCGCAAGAATTGAGTTTTCCGACTGGGGTTAAAACTTCAGATAATTTTCTGATTAAATTTATGATGGTTTATAAAATTTATATTTGTATAGCTATAATTTAACTTTGACAGTTTGAATGCGTCATTAATAATTTTCTGAATGATTGTATGATTTCGGTTTCATGATTTTGTTTGTGTAAGGTGCAATGTATCTCTCTCCTTTAAAGTTATCTCCCATCTCTCTCTCCCTCTTTCTCTCTTTCTATCTCCCCCACTCACTCTCACACACCACTTCTTTAAGTCTCTCTCTCTCTATTCAATATTCATATTCAAGTTTTCTTTTTCTCTTTTCTTTTCTTCTCCTATCCCGTTCTGTACCTTTTACATCCATTCAAATGACACTGACTATTTAAATCACGTTTATGTTTGTTGTTATCTCACTTACTAATTGTAATCGAAATGTAATTGAGGCCATCACACCAACAAATAATTACATTAGAAAAAGAATATAAATTGACTCTAAGAACCACTTGTTTCAGTTATGGAATTTTATTTAGTGCTTTACAGTGATTCTGCATATTGCCATGCATAAAGGATTATTCCATCTACGTTTAGCGGTTATAGTCAAACAAACACGCTTTCTACCCACAAACAAAAGATTTCGTCTCCGCCAGATTGTATAAGGTATGGAAAAGGTTTGTTTACTGAAAAATTACGTCAGCTGTCAAAACCAAAGTTTATTGGTAGCTTATTAAGATTTTAAACTGCACATTTTATTTGAAGAAATCCCAGCAATGGGATCGTAGCATCACTGCGTGTGCCCCATCTTGTTCATGGTTAACTAAATTGCACGAACGTGTAATGGTTTCTGCACCCATTTGATAAAAGAGAATAGTTCTTGCACTGGAACAGACGCAAGCATTGTCATTGCACTTAAAGGCCTACACAATTAGAATAGGGAAAGGGTAACAACAGTATCAGGGTTACTTTATGTTATCTGCACTAAACCAAAAAGATAAAAAGGACAATCGTTGCATGTCATTTGTCTTATGATTTACATGTGTTAAATTATAGAGCCTCAGAACAAAAGAGGGGATGGGAGAAATAGGAATATACTACTTTATAATTACACATGTAAAATCAGATGAAGTGACCAATAGAAGAACATAACAATATAAAATATAATAGTGTGTAGGTACCGTACAATGCAATACAAAATATTATTGTGTCATACATCTTACAACCTAGTTCAAGAATTTGCATGATTATTTGATAAAATATGCATAAAAGTCATCAATTCTAATCTATCATAAGAAAGTTATGATAATTCATAATCCGTGTATATGCATTACGTTTTCAACGACAAAACGAATAATGTCAACGACTACATTCTATGATGAACAACATTTATGATACATTATAAGTTTACTAAAGTCCATTTTTAAAATTATCTCAACATCACAAATTAAGATTGGAATTATAATACCAAAAGGGTTGGATAAAATCCTTAAAACAAAATTATATTAGGTATTACTCAATATTTTCAGTATAAATTTAAATCGTTTAATATTTCATTCCGTTACAAACCAGCAAATACAATGTTCATACAATGTCATGTAGATGTTCATGTGATAAAAATAAAGATGTTTATATACATTGAAATATATATATATATATATATATATATATATATATATATATATATATAGGTTAATTAAGTAAATTTGCGTAAGGCTGTGACAATAAATGAGGAAAAGGAAGCAATTGTGCTCAACTTACAAGAGTCTTATTTCAGAGGTCCGAATTTTACATGTCTAGCAGTATATGTTTCTAAAATCAAATTATTCGTTTTGATTATTATTATTATTATTATATATATATTTTTTAAAATAAATTATATGATGATTCAGCCGAATCAATAGATAATAGCAAACTCTTTCGTCATTATCTGGTGTTTTTTGTTACAACCTTAGTACCTTACATAGGAATTGGATTATACATAATATACGATGTTAACCGTAATAAAGAATGAGCGGCCTTCTCTTGATATTCTTTTGATAGGCCTACTCAGTAGCAAAGAGATGTGATACAATCATGAAAATAGTGGTTTAAAGAAAATAACACGACTCATATACCGTGTATAGGCTTACACTGTACTTTGTTTAAAATGTTGGATATCGTATGTTCTCGAATTATATTTTAGTCTCTTCTAAATATTCTCGATATTTTCAGAAGTCAAATTATCTACTAAATATATTTTTCAGTTTACACAACGCAAATAAACCTCTTTATGCAGATCGTTACCAACTTTGATCTACAAAACGACGATGGAAGTTTCCTTAAAAAAAATCCCCCAAAAAATTCGATATTTGGCTTTAAGTGGGATCTTTGAATTATTTCTCATGTTGCATTATTCATTTGTTAGCATACACAACTTTAGATTTACCCATTGTGTCACTCTTTTTTATCATTGGGAAAAGACCATGAAACATAGACGGCATAGGCGAAATAGATTTCATTTCCATGAATGTAGTGGTTGTTTTATCATCATCTTCTTGTGCTCTGGAAAGGGTAGTAATATTATGAGGACCATCTGATTCCTTTTTAGTGGCCTCATTCTGTAATTAACATACAACGGCTCAAACTCCTTTCGAGTAAAACTAAGACTTATATAATCATGGTGTTGGTCGACTTGCAGCGCCTTGAATTCTGTAATTAACATACACAGGCTCAAACTTCTTTCGGGTAAAACAAGGACTGACATAATCATTGTCTGGATCGTTTTGCACTGCATTTTTTTCTTTCATGTCTGTTTTCACAAAGACAGTCTCAAATTCCTTTCGAGTAAAACTTGGACTTACATAACCATTGTCTTGATCGTTTTGCACTGCATTTTCTTCTGTCATGTCTTTATTCACATACACAGCCTCAGATTCCTTTCTAGTAAAACTAGGACTGACGTAGTCGTCATCGTCTGTGCGAGGAATAGGCTTCAAGTCCATGCAGTAGCTCGTAGTCGATTTGGAATCGCTAGGCGGGTGTTCCTGTGCTATTTCAGCATTGTCTCCCTGGTCCATCTACAAAAATGTGTTCAAGAAAAATACTTTTCAAGTAAATATTAAAATGAAAATCAATATCATGTATATCATTTCATCATTCCAAGTACTATCAATGTTTTGTATCTTATTCATTTTCCTTAACTGGATGTCTGGGCCTTTTTTCATTCATATGTGAGCGAAGCCAACTATCCACATTAAATGAGTATAGGACAAGCAAATAATGAAATTAAATGAATGAATAAAAATCCATATTATGACTAAGTATGTACGACATACTATCTTTTAAAAGAGGGGGCGTATATCTAGTGATAATGATGCCCGGGGCAAACTTTAACCTTTGCCCCCCCCCCCCCACCATTACAAATTTGACAGCTTAACGATACCAAGTATATTTATGTACTTATTCACGATGTGAAAATCATATTTAATGGACTAACCCGATATTGGGAACCTAGGCTTATATTACTGTACAGTACACGCGTCTGAGCTAAGTTACCAAGAGTTAATTCTTTTCTTCATTTCATCCTAGTAAAAAAAAAACTAGTTCCCATTCATGAGACCGTACATAGCCTACTTTATAAGGATGCTCAGCAACTGATCGTTTAATAACTTCGTTCAAAATATGAAAAACTAAAAACTGAGGGGATTTTTTTAAAAATCTATATCATATTCAAGGAACAACATGTACGAATTCATTTCGAGTCGAGGGATTAGGCTAAGATTTAGCTAAACCATTTAAACTAATTTATTTTTTTGTAAAGAATTTTGAAGTGTTACAGATGCTAAGTTATGTAATTTTTATCCTATTTTGGGGGAACAAGAATCAACAAGGTCCTGATGAAACTTATATGCCTGGACGCAAATATCTCTTCAAATACGTTTGTTATGCTCTGTTACGCATTTCCCATTCCTTTTGGGTGCAAAAGCACCAGATATTAAAGAAATATATGCGGCAAAGTAAAGTAAAGCGACCGAGCTTCATAAATATTTATATATATATATATATATATATATATGTTTTGCATTCTAAACACTATATCTTATCCACTTTTCCTTTGATTGTGGCGCGTCTTCCTTTCCTTTAAGAAACATGAGTCTCTTTATTTTCTTCCCTTTCTTTTGCATTTTTTTGCGCACTGTCAAAGAGTCAACAGTTGGAATTTGAATCCAACTATAGGACGTAATGTCATATTGAACTGACCGGGAGGGTTAAAGTCCACAATATGGCCCTTAGCTAATCTAAAAGCAAGATACAAATTCATTGTAGTTCATATTTTCTTTGACTAATGAACTCATCATGACAATGGCTTCATTTTTGCGCTCTTCTTAAGGCGTGATATTGATACGAAAGACGAAACAGAGGTGCATCATCTGTGAATACCAACCTGCTTATTGGTTGGATCAGACGTCGGGATTGGTGGGATGGTCCCAGTGTTTGATAAAATCATGCTCCGTACTGTAAACAAAAAATGTTGAAGGAGTAACTCAGAATTAAGGCACACACATATTTTACATGATGAACGTTTTTCATGAACATGTATATGGAGAATCTATAACGGCTAATTTATGCTCAAGGTTGTTTAATAGAAATGTATCAGACAGAACACTTGAGGATGGTCAAAGAGGAATCGTTAAATTACTTCGGCACAATCATCAGGCAGGAGAAACATACCAGGACACAGAGAACTTAAGGAACGGACGAGTAGACAATTTAGAAATAGGATGTAAAGTCTACCTGAAAGAGTGCAACGAGATAAATATGTCAAAACATAGAAATATAGACAAAAAACTTCAATTAAGGTCCCGACAAGGATTTCTGATTGGCCCAGTAGCGAACGCAGGATTTTTTTCGGGGGGGGGGGGGTCCAGTTTTTTTGAAGAAAATTTCGCAACGACTCATCCAGCCAATGAATAAGCGGGGGGGGGGGGTAAGAGTACACATATTTGGAAAATTATGCCGACTGATATTTCGTTCAGTAGGGTCCCTTTTTTGGGTCACCTTTTTTCTCTTCTTCTTTTTTTATTTTTTTATTAAACAAAATTGGAGGGGGGGGTCCTCCAGAATACACACATTAAACAAATCGAGGGGGGTTCAACCCCCCCCCCCCCCCCCACTGCGTACGCGCCTGGATTGGCCACAGTGGGGGGAGAGTACATATTGAACATACTAACCTGACATTTTCTTCACCAAACAAACAACCCCAACTGCTGCGAACATCACTACGGCAAGCACACCAGCCGTGATGAAATAGCCAGTTCCAGAAGATTCCCCCTTGATCGTTGGGTCAATGACTAAAATAGAGCAACAATAATTGATAAACTTTAGAGTTGTGCAATTTCAACATTAATTCGAGATAGTGTTTCCTTTCTGTAGTATTGTTTGTAAGGAAAGAAATAAGGTTCAATATTTTCTCACACTCTACAACTTATAGTGTTTGTTTTAATAATGACTAATATAGTCAAAAGTAATGCCATATTGTGATTTATCATCCACCGCGATAGAAATTCAATGTCAGATAAATGTTATTATATGCTGCATGGCCGGCTCGGTGTAAAAATGTCAGAGGTAAAAATGTCAGAGGTAAAAATGTCAGAGGAAAAAATGTCAGAGGTAAAAATGTCAGAGGTAAAAATGTCAGAGGTAAAAATGTCAGAGGTAAAAATGTCAGAGGTAAAAATGTCAGAGGTAAAAATGTCAGAGGAAAAAATGTCAGAGGAAAAAATGTCAGAGGTAAAAATGTCAGAGGTAAAAATGTTAGAGGTAAAAATGTCAGAGGTAAAAATGTCAGAGGTAAAAATGTCAGAGGTAAAAATGTCAGAGGTAAAAATGTCAGAGGTAAAAATGTCAGAGGTAAAAATGTCAGAGGTAAAAATTTCATTAATTTCAGCGCTGCTTTATTTTCTTCTTTCTGTAACTTTTATTTACCTTACTGCCCGGAATTGGGACCTTTTGCCCAAATATTGCCGAGCGGAGACGGGGGAGGGGGTGCATCCTTCGTAATGACCCGGCTGCCTCCCCCTCATATGCCTTTGTCTTAGCAAATGATACTGGTACACTGAGCAAACTTCTGGGAAAAAAGAATGTCTAAAATCGAGTAGTTTGGCCATGAACAAATATAGGCCGAGTTGTGGCTCGATGGTGTAATCACTAAATAAAAAGAAAAGTCATCACAGCCCCCCCCCCAAAAAAAAAAGAAAGAAGAAGATAACATATCACGCCGTGAGTCCTCCGCCCCCCCCCCCCCGCCCCCACTTCACCGTCCCTTCTGAAGATTGATGGACATTTTAAAATGTGGCAATGACTACTATAAAATGTAATTTCCTACAAATGAATATTTCCAACAATTTCACTTTTTTTGTGTGCTTGATACTTTGATACCTTGATACAAAGCAGAAAGCCGCCCATGTATCAAATGCTAACCGCACCATCACATTCCAGAGAAGCGCGCGCTTTGCAAAGAGTTGATCGTCGATCACTATTGCGGTATAAATAGTCTGGGAGAACATCAATAAGCAGCTTGATACTCTGATACAAAACAGAAAGCCGCCAATGTTACATCAAATGCTAACCGCACCATCATATTCCAGATAAGCGCGCGCTCTGCAGAGGTTCTGTTTAAGCTACATCGTTCTATAATTATTTGATGTGAGAGATCAAACACTGAAATTGACAAATATTTATTCATGAGTAACATAATTATCAGAAACATAGTTTTACTGTACATATTTATAGCATCATGATCAAGGGCGTCAATCCGAGTTAGAGCATGGGGGGGGGGGACACAATTACATGTCACCTTTACAGTTACTTTCAAAATTATACCACGTTATGTTGCTACACACACACACACACACACATTCTCTAGTTATTCTGTTTCATGGCATGTAATTTCATTGGTGACCGGTTCATTCATTGCCTTTTTTTTTTTATCTTTGACGTTTCAATACATTTTGAGAGAAAGAAGACGATTCGTTGTATACCGTTCTCGACTCTTAATCCTTGTTTGAATTCAGTTCCCCCCCCCCCCCCCCACCCTCCCGCGCGGAAGCTTTGACGTTACATTAAATTATTAAAGAACTTCTTTTCTGACAAAACATGGGGGGTACATTTCACCACCTGAACATTCGTGGGGAGGGGGGACGTGTCCCCCCGTCCCCCCCCCCCCCCCCCCCAGGATTGACGCCCCTGATCATGATACTGCTTGTATACATGGTAATATTGTTTGAAGGATATTTGGTGCAGGATTTATACAAGGTGTGCTGGCATACACTGTATACGACAGTTTCCAGCAGGTACATATTCGTACAAGTCTACACATTAAACAAAATGCATCATGAATTTTGCAGAACAAAAACGGTTGAAGTTGAGGTACTTATACTGTATTTCTCCCACGTTTCTTAATCGTAATTTTTAAATATAAAGTTGCAGTGTTATGGTCGAAACTCGAAAGCACATGACAAAATACCTGGGTAGATATGTCTCAACGTTTACCACTTGTAGGCCTACTATCTGACAATATTTAACATTGTTAAACTTTTGTAATAAAGTATTGATGAGGGGGACAAAGCATCCGTGTCTTTTTATTAACGTTTTCTTGTCATAACAGTCTTTGCTGGGATGGACATGAAGATGGGTCTAATTACTGAATTTGTGAAATTTCTGTGCGATCTTTATAACTGATTCCCTGTTGTATCTCATTCAATCTTAATATTCTATGTATATTTTATGGCCTACTTCCTTAAAACCAAATAAACATTAAAACATCAACCAATATAAAATATCGAAAAATGATAGAAATTAATATATGCAAACCTGATCACAAAATATAAGTTTCAAATTTATTTTCCACATTGTATTATCCTCAGGACATGTACGAAGTACAATACACAGTCATTTATAAAATATAAGAGACAAGCCCAGTAGCTTACATCTTGAAATTTTGTGTGATAAAGTGCCGAGATATAATGATGGCACCAATTTTTCCCCCTACATTTTTTTTTGTACCTGACATTTTCTTTGTATCTCTGACATTTTTACCTTTAACATTTTTTTCCTCTGACATTTTTACCTCTGACATTTTTACCTATGACATTTTTAGATATGACATTTTTACCTCTGACATTTTTACCTCTGACATTTTTACCTCTGACATTTTTACCTCTGACATTTTTTCCTCTGACATTTTTACCCCTGACATTTTTACCTCTGACATTTTTACCTCTGATATTTTTACCTCTGACATTTTTACCTCTGACATTTTTACCTCTGACATTTTCACCCCTGACACTTTTACCCCTGACACTTTTACCTCTGACATTTTTACCTCTGACATTTTTACCTCTGACATTTTTTCCTCTGACATTTTTACCTGGCACCGCATGGCCTTTGTGATCTCTTGACTTTCCTGTATTCCTCCAGTTCGTCTCGGGAAACTGAACATTTCACCAGTTTACGGTTGTATCAGTGCGCATGCGCAGACAGTTGACCTCGGGTCATTGGCCCTGAGGTCATTTGGTTAGTGCGTAAATTAAGATTGCGCCCATGCAAATTATGATGAGAGCGCACAGCGCAGCGCGCAGGCAGTGATGTTATCATAATTTGCATGGGCGCAATCTTAATTTACGCATAAATACCACTGACCTCTAGGTCATTGGCTTTGTTTACTCGCCAATTAAAATGGTGCACACAACTGTAAACTGGTGTATATATCGAGGAAATCTATATCGTTATCAGTCACTGATGAATGGAATGTCAACAAAATCCCCTTTTGAGGCATAGCGTCATCACCTTGCTTATGACGGAATATGCCTAAAATCATTGAACGCCAAACTTCACATTTTCACATCATTTGATCTACAGTATTAAAAGCTCAAGAATTTTAGTTTGAAATTCCTCACCTATTTTAGTTTGAAATTCTTCATCTGTTGGGCGATCTGGTTTACTGCACAAGCCTCTACCCGAGGTCAAGACCAGGTAGTCATCATCCTGGTCAACCTTGACCTCTGACCCAGGTTCAATGCACTTTTCTATGGAGAGACAATCTGGTGTAGAGGTAGTGTTCCCTAAGATAAAGAAACAGGTTTCTTCCAAGGAATGTTCGGTGTTGGTCTCCGAAAATGTCAGAACCCCTGTCAACCTGTTCAGAGTGATGTTCATTCCTTGTAATGACAAAATATACATTTGATACAAGATTGCTTTACTTAATCCTATAACCTAAAAAGGGTAATACCGAAAATTAGATAAGATTTTCAAGTTCACAAAATGCAGAAATACACTGCCAGCAAAAAAAAGTAAATAGGGACTATCCTTAATGCACAGTATTAAAAGAGACGTATCAGTACATAAATGAGGAAGTGAAAATGTTTCAGAAATGTTCTCGTCTTGTGGAATAGTCATGGAGTGGAGTTTGAGTCTTTAATGTCGTTTGGCGAAACATAAATCTACAGTTGCCA